TCCCCCAGCGCTGGGGGCAGAGCCGGCGGCCACTGCCACCCCGGGCAGCAGAGCTGCTCCCGCACGCAGCGGCCACTCCACGTGTCCAGCCACGGCCTGGGACTTTTCCTGTAAGTAAGTTTGTTTCCAGTGATATTTGGGATTCCTGTGAATAAACCCCACTTTCTTTCTGCCCGAGAAGGCCGGCGGCTCGCCCTCCCTGCAGCCACGCCGAGCGTTTCGCCTTCAGCTTTTCACTGCCATGGCTGGTTCTTGCTGCACGTCCTGCTGTGGCCGCAGCCGGCACAGCCCCGGTCGCGGCGGTGCCCGGCCCAGCACCACGGCTCGTGCCGTGCCGGCTCGGGAGAGAAAGGACCCTCGGCGGCACACGCTGCACTGGATTTGCCTCTGGTGACTAAATTTATTTAGCAAGGAAAGCTCCCAGCTGACTCCACACCGGCCAACCAGTTACAGTTAATAAAGTATAGTATAACAGATCTGTCACGTAATCCAGAAAACAATCTCGGGCAGTTACAACTAAAAAATAAAGTGGATTTGTTTAATTTAAAAGCTCAAAAATAACAAGCCATATGTTTTTTAAACATGTAGTAAACACAAAAGCAATATAATCTATGATACAATGTACACTATACACAGTGGGGATGGCGGGCAGCACACGGGGGAGGAAAGGGGGCTGAAGTCCCAAAATTCAAAAGGAAACGCCACGTCACTTGGAAACAGAAACGTGGGGAGAGAGAAATCATCCGAGAGAAAAGAAACCTCTTCAGTATTGGAAAAGAAACGTTAGGAGAAAAGGGGGGCAAGAAGATGGGCAGCATCTTACAGAGAAATTAAATAGAGATTAAAAAAAGCACTCACAATACACAGTGTTTGTAATCGGGAGCGGGGAGCGTAAGGCAACGATCTCCATAGAAAAAAGGGACCTTCCAAAGGGGGTTATATAGATATTTATAGCTATTTATAGACTTTAAATATAAAGTAGGAATGTGCTGTGGAGCCTCTCCCGGCCTGCCCGCACCGGAGTGTGCGGTCCCCTCCGCGCCCGGCTCCCGTGTGGCCGTGAGAGGTTTCGCCGGGCTCCGGGCCACCGCCGGGCCACCCCATGGCCCTGGGGATCCGCAGGGAGGATCGGCCCCTCGCGCCCTTCCGAAAGGGCTGCGCTTCTGCGTGGGGGCCCAGGCGGCGGTGGAGGAAGGGCAGAAGGATGTCCCCCAGGGCTCCTCTTCCGCAGGCGGCCGCGGCCGGGGACGCCGGAGCGTTGCGGCGTCGCAGGCTGGGGGCCCGGCCGGGGGTGGCCCCGCCGCCCGGGGGGCGC